ACTTTCAGTGGCTCAGAGCAGGATATCAGTCACATTTCTAAAACAAGTTCTGTGAACAAGTTAACCTACAGAATTGTTTCTTCATATAATTTTGCCTGTGTGGTTCTAATCCACTATGATGAAGAATGTGCTAAGGTTAAAAAATAAACAAGGTCTTCTAGCTTTCCTAGGTGGAATCTAACCAAGGTAATAGTATTTTTAAACACTAAACATGAAAATGTTAAAAGATTTAAGGGGGGAAAAAACTATTTTCAATTCAAAATTTAGACATAAAAACAGAATTCTTGTCCTTTTTTTTTTAATAGGTGTTCCTTGGAATTTTACATTTAATGTGAAGTTTTATCCACCTGACCCAGCACAGTTAACTGAAGACATAACAAGGTAAATACTTAATCAGCACATAAATACAGAACTGTAATTCTTGTCATAAGCTCTGGGAATTTTCCTATTCAGAATAGGAGAACAATTGTAATAAGGAGTAGGTATTTCTGCCCGCTGCTGGTATTGTCCCACTGCCGCGCCAGCCCCAAATAACACACCGAGACTCTGTATTAGATATAACGCTGTTGCCAGGTACTAGTTTCTTATCGGCTAGCTCTGTCTTAAGTATTAGCCCATTTCTGTTGATTTATTTATTTCCATGTGGTCTCATCTTTCTGGGGAATGGGGCAGGTGTCTGGTCTCCCCAGTCTCTTCATGTTGACTCCTCCTTACTTCCTCCTCTTTCCTCCTCATCTCCTAGTCCCGCCTATCTAGCTTTCCTGTAGGCCAACAGTGCTTTATTCATTAACCAGTATGAGAAACATATTTACAGACTGACATCTCCCATCAAACTATCTTAAATGATAAGCCTAAAATACAGAGTTTCTGGTGCCTTCAAAGCAAGCTTGCAGATACTGAGCAGGAGTATCTGCTGGAATTTGGCAGGAGCCAGCCCTGTTTACCAAGTGTTACACCATGTAATACATGGTGGGCGGGAATTCTCTTAAACCCGTGCTCTGAGGGCAAGAACTGTCCAACTGTGTTCCCCAAAGGGCTGAAAACATCAAAATCACATGATAGTTATTTCTTTATCTGTCTTTTAAACTGCCCTCATGAACTGATCCATCTTTTGAGCCCATTTAATTTGTAGTGCAAATGTTACATAAAAACAACCTACTGAATTTTTAAGAAAATTATTTTTATTCGATTTTATCAAAGATGAACAAAAACTAAATGGAAAACTACTGTACGGTGAACAGTTCTGCTGTGAGCTTTCATGTCTGGGATGGCATCAGGGAGCTTAGATGCTTGGCAATATTTCTTAAATTTAATTGGTGGGTTGCCAAGAAACTACTTCCTAAGTCTGATTTTGTTATTAATGATCTGATTTCTGAGGAATTTATAATCTCTAGGATTCAGTTTTCATCTCTCAAAAATGAGGGAGAGGCTGGAGCAATGGCTCAGTGGTTGAAAGCATTGGTTGAAAGTTCTTCCCGGTTACCCAGGTTCAATTCCCAGCACCCACACGGCATAGATATATGCAGGCAGAACACCCATATACAAAATAGAAATATTAGAAAATGTAAATGAGGGAATAAGATAAATGCCTAAAATCTGATTAAGTGTTGCGAAAAGCCTATCGAATTTTCTAAGGTTACTTTGCATAAAATCATTCTACTTGCGAAAACTGTTTCATTTTTGGTGGTATACATATATGCGCATAATACTTAAGAGTGCATACTCAGTAAAATATTAGTTTCCTTACCTCCTTCAGATGTTTCCTGCTTTTCCCCTTCCAACTTTGTTCAACATAGTTATAGTATTTCTGTTTTATGAACATATTTCAAATAAGAGGGAGAAACAGTTTTACAAAGACTAGCTATGTGCCCACTGTCCTATATGAACAATTTTCGTGTCGGTTTCCTTCACCTCTTTCCTTCTTTCTTTTACCCTTCTTCCTTTTTATCTGTTTGTGTTGTGTTCTTTTGTTGTTACTGACGTATTCACATCTTTTGTTTTTTGGATGTAGATACTATTTATGTCTTCAGCTTCGGCAGGACATCGTTGCTGGACGGCTACCCTGTTCCTTTGCAACCTTAGCCCTACTTGGCTCTTACACCATCCAGTCTGAACTGGGAGACTATGACCCAGAACTGCATGGCGTGGATTATGTCAGCGATTTTAAAGTGGCTCCAAATCAGACCAGGGAACTTGAAGAGAAGGTCATGGAATTGCATAAGTCATACAGGTGAACATGTTTCCAGATGTCCTGTATTTATCTTGGCCATGGGTTTAAACCCTTGACTTGTTACTGATTCATTGTTTACAATAGGAAGAGTCACCTTGAGTTCATTTCCATTTATTGTTTGACTTCGGAAAAGTCGTTGAAGCCCTCTGACTGGTTTTCTTATCAGGTTAATGGAAATTTTTGTTTGTTTGTTTCTGTTTTTGTTTCCAAGTTTACTGGAAAAAATGTTCTGATTCATTGGTTTCGATGTTGTTAGTTATCAGAATAATGGGCATTGCGTTGTAGGGTGAAAAGTAAACGAGAACCACTTATCACAAGGCCTGGCACAAAGTAGGTGCTCAATAAATGGTAGTTATTACTATTATTGCTTAAACCTTTTTATCATGTTTTAGATGTATGCTGTATTAGGTGCCTTAAGATCCTTAGAGCCAGACTGCTGACCGGTTCTGCTGTCTGCTCTTGAAAGTACTTTGTAAAGTTGAGTCTTCATCAAGTTCACTGACTTTACTGCTTTTAGTGAATATAATTAGTAACATTGGGAGGTAATACACCATGATTAAGAGGAAGACTTACCTTGGTTTGAGGCAGATTGAGATCTTGCCTCTGTTTTGTCCTGGCCCTATGAACTTCAGTGATGCATTTAAAATTTCTCTGGTTCCTTGAATGTCTAATTGAGATTATTACTTTAGAAGAAACAAGGCAATGACTAAATTTAGAAAAGGAAATGTGTTTGTCTCATATAAAAATCCAATAATTGATATGTAAAATAAAAATAAAAAATAAAAAATCCAATAATTGTTATCTAATACTAAAATGAGGCCCCCATTGTATTTTTTTCTCTACATACCCATTTTTCATTTGAATGACTACTATAGCTAAATTTCACAAGCTGCTTTAGTCTGACCCTGACATTGATTTACATCACATTGGCATGGCATCCTGGACAGTGTGAGCATGCACCGTGTTACAAAGATTTAAAAGGTCACTTTGTTCAAGAGAAATTCAGAGCATGGACTCAGGAGCTTGTTTTGATAGGTAGCTATAAGTATTCTGTCTAGCTATTGAATTGTCCTTCTGGTCTCTTTGAGGTTGTTCTGATGGACTATGGTGCTTCAAATGAAAGGCCTTTCTTTCAATATGGCCTGCTTCTGACTGTCTTATTCCCCCAAGGTTCAAACACCTCAGTTGTGAAAACCATAGTAATTTTTATAAATTGATTGTATGTGGGCCACATGTGTATACACCTCACACATGTGTATATGTGTCACATGTGTGTATGCCACAGTGCACGTGTGGAAATCAGAAGATAGCTTGCACAGGAGTCAGATCTTCTTCCATCATGTGGGTTCTAGAACTTAAACTCAGGTTGTCAGGCTTGATGACAAGCACCTTTACCCATACTATCCAGACCCATAATAAGGATTTTAAAGTTTATAACCTGTGTAGCAGTCATCCCCTGTGTCACCCAACTCTCACAGGATCACAGTGTGTCTAAAGAGAATTGCCAGAATTTATTTTTAAACTTTTTTTTAAGATTTGTTTATTTTATGTGTATAAATGTTTTGTTTGCAGGTAGATCTCTGTGAGTTCCAGGCCAGGCTGGTCTGTATAGAGAGTTCTGGACAGGCTCCAAAGCTACTGAGAAACCCTGTCTTGAAAAAAACAAAAAAGAAAAAAGAAAAAGAAAAATTATTGTATGGTGAAATGTGTCATCATTTTGATGAATTGACTCAGCCAATGAATATGTGAAATACATAATGTTTTAAAATAATGCAGGCCATGTATGTGGTGCACACCTTTAATCCAAGCACTCAGGAGGCAGAGGCAGGCAGATCTCTGAGTTTGAGGTCAATCTGGTCTACAGAGTGAGTTCCAGGACAGCCAGGGCTACACGGAAACACTGTCTTTAAAAAACCTAAATAAACAAATAAATAGAATAATGCACAAGTAAAAAGATACACTCAAAATACAAGGTAGACTAGTGAAATCTCAAACATGTAATGAATTTTAACAACACAAAAATGTCATTGATTTGTTTTTAGATTCTGCATTTCACTACTATTTAAGAAACTGCTCTTAGACTGGGAAGATAGCTCAGTCAATAAAGTGCTTGCCTCGCAAGGGTGAAGATGTGAGTTCAAACTCCCATCACATGCTAATAATCCCAGCACTGGAAGGGTAGAGACAAGTGGATTTGGGGGCCTCACTGGCCAACAGTGTAGCATAATTGGTGATGTCAGTGAAGAGACCTATTTCAAGGATGACCTCTGACCTGTACATACACACACATGCTCACTCTCATATACATATGCACCCCTCCCATGCATTCACATGAACACACATAAGAAACTGCTCTCGTATTTGAATATAGTATCAAAAAAAGACTTAAAATTGTAGCACACAAAAAAATAAAAGACCAGTGACTGATATTGGGGCTCAAGCTTCAAGCTGAAGATCAGAAAAGCAAAGCCAACCACTAGTAGCTCTACCTCAGCTCAGACCAGAGGGTCGTTCCTCTGACTGCTCCTGACTTCACTGCTCCTCAGGTTCAGTCAGACTGCTATGCTCTCCTTAACATGGCTGGAGACTTCATTGTGTTCCTATCCTCAATGTAGCTGGAGAATGGATGCTAGCTCTGAGACCCTATTCCTGTCTTATATACCTCTCATGAGTCCGGGATTACAGTGCTGAGATCATCTTTGTGTGAGGTGTTTCTTTTAGGACTGGATCAATTTTGTGTAGTCAGTGTGGCCTTGAACTAACAGAGATCCATCTAGCTCTTACTCCTGAGTCCTGGGATTAAAAGTATGTACCACTACTGCCTGATCTCTGTAGAGAGGGAGGAAGGAACCTGGTGGTGTTACATCAAAACTAGAGGTTTCAGTGCACATTAATGGCTTCAGTGGTGGTAGACACATATGTAAATAGGTACCTATATAAATACTGGTGTACTTTAATTATTCACTGAGCTGGGAAGACATGCTCAAAAAAGATGAGAAATGTTTAGAAGGACACAGATTGTCCTTGAAGAAGCTCCGCTCCCACTGACCAAATCTCAGGCAATTTAAGCAGGGGAAAAGATATGCAAAGTAAGTGATTATATTGCGTTTACTAAAATGAGAGTCTGTGTTAGAGATGTAGTAGCACAGCACTTGCTTATCATGAGGAGTACCAAAACAAGGAAGAAACCCAACCTTGATCTATGAGTTCATAATGATATATATATAAATAAACAGTTTGATGGAAGATATTTTAAAAAAATTGAAAAGAATTCTCATAAAATACTTAATAGCTACAAAGAGATAAAAGAAGAATTTCAGAGAAACTTGCCATACATCAGTGTGAGAGTGGACATCATCTTTGGAGGGACAAATTGAAATTGTGAACACTTGATAGGATGCAGTGCAGGCACAGCTCCACTTCTGTGACCTTCCTGTTAAAGATGTGTGGTTCAGGGCTAGGGATACAGCTCACTGTGAAGCTCTTGCCTGGAGCTCAAGAGTCAGACCTATACCAGATTAGACTGGAGACACAGGATCTACAACTGGATTATTCTGTAACAACTGGCTGAGCTTGGTGAATGGGCTTAGGGATTGTGTGGCGTTATGTGTCATTGTTAATTTCCGGATTTTGACACTGTGTAGAAAGAAGGCTGTCCTTATTTGTGGGACGTGCATACAGAAGTATTCAGAAACGTTGGGACCACTAGGTTGGCAGTGTACCATGGCTTAGGAGAAAATCATTTGCATTGTATATGACTTAGGAATCATAATTGAGGGGGCTGGAGCGGTGGCTCAGAGGTTAAGAGCACTGGCTGCTCTTCCAGAGGTCCTGAGTTTAATTTCCAGCAACCCATGGTGGTTTACAATCATCTATAATTTAAGACAAAGGTTTTAAGATCTCTATTTAGCTCCTCATATGTGTTGAATCACACTTATCTAGAAATATAGCTTGAATATGTATATTAAGATTGATGTCCCTTAGAGTTGAAAAGTGAAAATAGGGGAAAAAATTCAAATGTGATGTATGCAGATAACATGTTCCTGTGTGGGCATGTTTGGAGGCTGAAGAGTAACATTGATGTTGTCTTTATTGCTCTTTACCTTACTGTGTGAGAGACGTTTTTGTGTGTGTGTGGGGGTATGTGTGTATGCGTGCATGGGCACCTGCGTGGGCAGAGATCAGAGGAGGCATCATGTGTCCTCCTTCATTACCTTCCACTTTGTGTCTTTGAGGTATGGTCTCTCACTTAACCTGGAGTTTGTTGTCTTTTCAACTAGGCTAGCAGCCAGCAAGCCCCAATAGTCCTGCCTCTGTTCTACTCAGCCGGGGTTATAGGTGTGGGTGGAATGATATCTTGCTCTTACTCACATGGGTGCTGGGATCTGAACTCTGGTCCTTCTGCTTTCACAGTAAACACTTTTAATCATGGAGACATCCCTGCATGAGCTCTCCAGCTCCTGTCAGCCTTATGTTTTGAGTTAGGATGTCTCACTGATTCTGAAGCTCACTGGTTGGTACACTAACTGGCTAGGAAGATTGGGATCCTCCTTCCTCTTCGGCACTAGTATTACAGACACACACTGCTTGGCTTTTTTCTGTCCGTGGTGCAGGGAATTTGAGCTCAGGCTCTCATGCTTGCACAACAAGCGATGAGCCATCTCCCCAGCTCTAGCTTTTGTTGTATGTGTGTATGTAGACCAGGCTGGCCTTGAACTCACGAGATCTGCCTGTCTGTGATTAAAGGTGTGTGCCATCAATGCCTGGCCTGATGTATGTTTTTATTTAATGTTTTAAATTCTGTGTATAAATTTAAGTGATCTAACCCTCTCATAACCCACCCCCCCCAATCTTTCTTGAGATAAAGTCTCAGGTAGCATGAGTTCTAGTTGGTCTTAATAAAAACCTGGAGTCAGATATTAGGGGGTGAAAGCTGAAAGATCAGAAAAGCAGAACAGCCAGCCACTAGAGTTCTTATGAAATCCTCAATCTGAAAAGGGGCCGAGCTCCGCCTCCTCCCGCTTTATATTCTTTTCTCTACCCAGCCATATCACTTCCTGTCTGTCTATACAGACCTCCAGATCTCTATGGTTAACTAGTGGCTAGTTCTGCCCTCTGATCTTCAGGCAAGCTTTATTTGTTAACAAGATACCACCACAGTCTTACTATCTGGCTTGGTCTGCAACTCACTCTGTAAACCAGGCTGACTTTGAGTTCACAACAGATCCACCTGCCTCTGCTTAGAATTAAAGATAAATGCCGACATCCCCAGGGTCTCATAACCTGTGCTGACTTGAACACCTTATCTTTCTACCCCATCTCCCAAGTACTGGAATTACAGTTGTGTGCCACCATGCCTGGCTACAAATTATTTTTTATAATTTTATGATTTGTATGTAGATGGACCACTGAACTATTAGAAAACTAAAGTTTCAGTAGTAATAAACATTTATAGTTTACAAAGCAGTTTTACAAACATAATCTAATTTGATAATCACATTTCATGTATTTACCGAAGACCAAAAAAAAAATCATTGTTTATCCCTATGTTCTACAAATAGACATTATAACTCTTAATTTATAGAGGGGACTGAAGGAGATCTAGACATGACCCTAAGGGCAGGAGTCAGGGTTCCAGTCCTGTGACTTGAACCTGCTGCTTCTTAGTGAATTCTGATTTGCTGGTGACATGATCTGAGTCCTATTGTTAATATATAATAAAAGGAGCAACAAAAACATAAAATAGCCGAGACTAACTTCAAGTAAAAGAACATATTACTTACATGGATTATTTATATTAATTATATGTGCAATTATAAAAGTTGCCTGAGATGTTCTGAATAACTTGCTTATAGGTTCCCACCCCCCTTGTTTACACTTTCAATTAATAAATTCCGGTGTGGTGCTTTAGAGCTTGTGAAACTTTATACAGGAAAGCTGAGGTGATTTTTTTTCTTCTTCTTTTGGTGGTTATTGTTCCAAGAAACCCTTTGTTCTTTTTAATGAGGGTAAAGACAGATGGGTTTGGCAGAGACCTTTCCTGGTTAAGTAAAGAGATCCCTGCTGCTTCCATGGCTCTGGGCAGTCTTAGGGGAAAGCTGATTGTCCATGTGTTTTTCCTTAGGGATGTGGCTGCCTTGTTGTTACTGTGAACTGTCGTAATTGGTTCAAATAGTGCAGCGTTATGAGTGATGTCTTTGTCTTGAAAGCTAACAGAACAGCTCAAGAACATCCTTCGAAAGAGAAGGAATTTATAAAAGAGAGGCTGGCACAGTGAATGTTTAGACAGCGAGATTGACTGTTTTCAGACAAGTCTAACTCATTATATGCCTGGCAGTGAAGACATCTTATTAACAGAAAACAGTCCCATTATCAGGATGCTTCTATTAGCCAATTTATTCATTGAGATCAGTGGGCAGGACACCATCTGTTACCAGAAAATTTCTTTTCATCAAATCTGCCCCCATTAAGAGTCCCAGTTAAGTAACGTCAGCTTGCCCTCCAGCTTAATTTCTATAATAACTCAATTCAGGGTATAGAGAGAAGGGCAGCTAAGAAGATCTTGTAAACTGTACTGAGGATTTAATTTGGTCATCTCCTTGGTTAAAAAAACCAAATTAGTAGGAGGAGTTCATGTGTGACACAGAGAAAGGCTGAAGAGAGGGGTGCTGAACTCCAGATGGCTGGGGTAGCGCAAAGCAAACGGATTTAGAGTTTGCCTCTATGATAACATTTTGGTGACATCTGGTTTTCTTACATTTTATTTTCTAAGGTATATTTCAGTTATTTAGACTCAGGTAGTGAGAAAGTTCTCATTCCATAATTACTTTGAGGACGTGTGTGTGTGTGTGTGTGTGTGTGTGTGTTGGCTTATATAAAGTACCATGAATATTCAGTTACAGACACTTCTGCCGTGTCACTGAATTTTCCCTTTTTATTCTGCCAAAGGTCCATGACTCCAGCTCAGGCTGACTTGGAATTTCTTGAGAATGCCAAAAAGTTGTCCATGTATGGAGTTGATCTTCACAAGGCAAAGGTACTGATAATTTTGGTGCATATTAATGTGTATGTAAATGCATATGACACAGACCTATTAAGACCTATTAATGTATATGGTATATCTTATACCTCTTAACAACATTTATTTGTGGTGTTTTATTTATTTTGTGTTTTTTAAGACAGGGTTTCACTGTGTAGCCCTGGCTGTCCTCAAACTCTGCTGCTCTGTAGACCAGGCTGGCCTTAGACTCAGAGGTTGCCTGCCTTTGCCTCCTGAGTGCTGGAGTTAGGTGTGAGCTACCATCAACATGCTAGAGAATGGCTTAAGAGTTTTTTTTTTTTTTCTTTTTTGGGTGTGTGTATATGTGTGTGTGCCTGCCTCTAAATATATTGAAAAATGAATTTTATACTCTAAGTGGAAAAATTGTGTGGTATATGAATTCTATATCAATAAGATAATTTCTGTTTACAAAAAATTGCAACCAAAACATTGTAAAGATAAAAATATGTCTAGAGAGAAATAAATTGTATTTTCTGAAATAAAGTTACATTTGAAGATGCAGAGAGGCATCAAGGGATAATTCAATTCCACAAGCAGCATTATCCACATAAGAATCACCTGGGGTGTCTACTAACTATGCAGATTCCAGAGCTCTGCCCAGGTTTATAGGCTGGCTAGAAAGAGGCTCTAGCTCCAGATTTAATGGCCATTCCAAATGGTGCTAATGATGCCTGAATCAGAACCATTGGTCTCTCAGTCAGTGGCATTTAACACCACCTAGGAATCTGTTAGAAATACATGTTTCAGGTCTCTCCCAGAGGTAATAATTGGAACGTGGGGAGGACCTCAGCAGTCTGTGACAAGCTTTCCAGGTGACTCATACCATAGCTATTTTGAGAACTACTGGGTTAGGGAATCAGAAGTGTGAACTTTAACCACTGACCTGCCTAATTAATGCAGGTAGATTGGCTACTAACTGGCTACTAAAATGGCTGGGGTGTTGCAAAGACTGCCAGGGAAAGGACTCAAGGGATGATCCAGAGGCTCCGACAGAGGAACTTAGCTAGTACCTGTGACGTAAACAAAGTCCTATCCAGTAAGAAATAAAGGAAGATAGATTCTCAGCCTCGAAAGGGAAATGGGGCTAGAGATAAAGCTCAGCTGATAGAGCGCTTGCCTAGCTTGCATGAAGTCCTAGGCCCAGTCCCCAGCTGGGCATAAACTGGATGTGTGCATGCCCGTAATCCCAGCCCTTGGAAATTAGAGGCAGGAGGATCAGAAATTCGTTATCATTCTTGGCTATATGGGGAATTTGAGGTCAGCCTGGGGTACATAAGACCCTGTTTCAAATAGATATGTTTTTAAAAGTGAAGAGATTGTTTATCATGGCGTCTAGGCGTAAACCCAGGGCCAGAAAAATAGAAACATACATACATATATACATACATATATGGAAACTACAAGGAAATCTACTTTTTGGCTCAATATGACAAGTTGTTTAGCAGAACTCTTCAAAGATGTGATAGGTTTATTTCAGAGGATGATGAACTCTCTTCTGCTCTGTTTATTCCTGAATAAGCAGAAAAATCACTTGGTAGGGATTTAGAAACATTCAAGCGTTAGGTCATTCAAGCATCTGGTCTCTACTTAGACCTGTTGATGATTTTTAAGATTCTCCTTGACTGAATTTATGATTTCATGTTTGAGTTCTGTTTGTCCTAGTGAAATTTCATTACACAGTCATGGCTTCCCCCCACCACCACCATGTGGTTGCTGGGAATTGAATCCGGGTCCTGTGAAAGAGCAGCCAGTGCTCTTAACCACTGAGCCATCTCTATAGCCCCCTTTAAAAAAGTTTTAAAAAGAGAAAGCTAATTGTAACCCGTGGACTTTAAAAATGTAAGAGGGTATCTTCTGGTCAATTTTCAGCTATGTAGACTTTGAATTAAAGCTGTATGTGATGTCTTTATCTCTGTAATTCCTTTTTTAAATGATTTATTTATTTTTATTTATGTACAATGGTGTTTCACCTGCATGTGAGGGTCCCAGATCTCCTGGAAATGGAGTTACAGACAGTTGTGAACTGCCATGTGGGTCCTGGGAATTGAACCTGGGTCTTCTGGAAGAGCACCTGGTGCTCTTAACCACTGAGCCATCTCTCCGGCCCTGTAATTCTTGTATATTACACATTTAGGTACTAATAAATTTCCCTATACTCATTTTAGGAAAAAGTACTCAGGAAGCATTTAACTTTGGGTGTGATTACTTAACTAGATAAATAATCCTTTGATTAATTCAGGTGTAGTTTGTTTTCCTTGAATTATGTGATTAATATTTTACATTTTTTTCAGGGTATATTATTGTAATGCTATTTTACTTTAGTGTTCTTTCTAGGCTTAGGAATGGTATTTGTAATTTAATGTATTTAACATCAAATTTTTTTTTTTACTGTCAGATCTCTTGTGCTAACTTTATACAATAATAAACATATATGTCATGGTGGATGTGTGGAGATCAAAGGACAATGAGGGGTTTTTTACTCTACTAAGTAGATTCTGAGGATTGAACTCAGGCTGTCAGGCATGGGAGCAAATGACCATCTCACTGATCTAACAGTGATAACTCTTACCATGGTGCCTAGTAGGATCACTGAGGTTGTCTACTGACTTAGACATATACTCGAGTGGACAATGACTGCTTATGTTTTTTTTTTTTGTTTGTTTTATTTTGTTTTTCAAGACAGGGTTTCTCTGTGTAGCCCTGGCTGCCCAGGAATTCACTCTGTAGACTAGGCTGACCTCAAATTCACAGAGATCTGCCTGCTTCTGCCTCCCAAGTACTGGGATTAAAGTCATACACCACTACCACACACTTTAAGTGTTGTGTTTATTGTATGCTTTGTTACTGGAGTTGTGGTCACTTCAGATTATTTAATAATAGCCAATAATGTGTTCACCGCTTCATTCAAATAAAATGCTGATGCTCTCTTTTCAGGACTTGGAGGGAGTGGATATCATCTTAGGAGTCTGCTCTAGTGGCCTTTTGGTTTACAAAGATAAATTGAGAATTAATCGTTTCCCTTGGCCCAAAGTGCTAAAGATTTCTTACAAACGTAGCAGCTTCTTCATCAAGATTCGGCCTGGAGAGGTATGCAACTTCGGTTTCTCTTCTCTCCAACCAAACAGGGACTTCTAGCTGGGCATGGTCAACAAATGCTTGTAATCCTTGTACTTGTAATCCTGGAGGTTGAAACAGGAAGAGAATTGCAAGTTCAGGGTGAGCCTGAATTACATAGGAAATGTAATTAGAATGAATGAATCACTGGGCAGGGGTGGCACAGGACTTTAATTCTAGAGGCAAGCAGGTCTCTGAGTTTGAGGACAGCCAGGTCTACACAGAGAAACCCCTGTCTTCAAAAACTAAAAACCAAAAAAAAAAAAAAAAAAGGAATGAATGAATGAATCAAACATTTCATTTCCCATTATGTCATCTAAGAAGTCTTTGATGGGGGGATGTCCTGTCTGTATATATGTTCCTCTTATTGGTTGATGAGTAAAACGCTGATTGGCCAGTAGCCAGGCAGGGAGTATAGGCAGAGCTACCAGATGAGGAGAATGCTGGGGAGAGGAGGCAGAGAAGGGCTGCCAGAGGCAGACACCATATAGTTACTGAGAAGATAAGATGCTGGACATTCTCCAGTAAGATAAGACCATGTAGAAATACATAGATTAATAGTTATGGGTTAATAATTAAGAGAGAGCTAGCCAGTAAGAAGCCTAAGCAACCAGCCAAACAGTTTATAGTTAATGTAAGTCTCTGTGTTTATTTGGGACTGAAGGTGGCAGGATCAGACAGAGCAGAACCTCTATCTATAAGTCTTTATATTAGCTACTCCCAGCACTTGTGAGATGGAGAAAGGAGGATCAGGACTTCCAGGCCTGTCCACATAAGAACTGTTTCAAATACCTAGAAACAGGTATTTGAAAGCAAAACTAAGTAATCAGTGGTCAAATTTCAGTATATACCCATCTAATTTTAGCTATTATGTTGAAGATCTATGGTGATACAACAAAATTAATTGTTTAAGTAGGAGTTAAATTTTTAAAGTTTTGTTTTGTTTTTTACACAGAATCTCTTTCTCTGGCTGTCCTGGAGACTTGTTTAATTTTCATTGTTCATGTGGGGAAGGGATGTGTGTATGGGTCTGTGCACATGAATGTAGGTGCCCCAGAAGGCCAGAGACTTTGAATACCCTGGATCAGAGCTGCAGGCAATTGTGAACCACTTGACGTGGGTGCCAGGAACTGAGTCCTGTGTAAGAGCAAAATGACATTTTTTTTAAAGCTTTATACCACTCCCTAGATCAAAGACTTGGGAAAAATTGGAAGCTGAGCTTCCTTATACTCAAGAAGATTAATAACTTTTCTGTCCCAGTCCATTTGAAGATGGAATGAGATGGCTGGAGAGCTCTGGGTAGAGAAGCCCAGTCCAGGCTTATGGATAGTGGTTTTGTGTGTGTGTGTGTGTGTGTGTGTGTGTGTGTGTGTGTGTGTGTGTGTGTGTGTGTCACCATCTGCTGGTGAAGAGTGGTACTGTCTCAGCCTGGAAATTCTGGATGTGCCTTGAAGCACTGTTTCATACTATAATCTCTCAATTGAAATTCAGGAATTTCTGAGACAGTGTCTAACTGTGTAGACCCAGCTTGAACTTGTAAAGATCTGCTTTCCCTGTCTGCCAGTGCTGACATTAAAAGGCATGCACCACCATGCCTGGATAACCAAGAAATGTTTATTAAACAGGTTTTTTTCCCCCTTTTTTTTTGTGCCAGTGACTATTCTAGGGGCTCTAAATATAACAGTAAGTAAAAAGATGTCATTTTTCAACCAATTGCATTTTACTATAATAAAGGAGGAAAATGTAGACACACAGAAATATTAATAGCTGTTATGGGAAGTCCTTGCCTTTGAAGTCTCAACTGTCTAATATATAGTGAAAATACATAATTCTTTCTCAAAGCAGTTGAGCACAACAGGACTCTGAAAAGTGGGGTGCCATGACTACAGCAGAGGTTGCTCATTTTTTAACTGAGTGAACAGTTTCTTCATGTGTAGTTTGGTATCTAGTCATACTGCTGCTGCCAATAACATACTCGGAGCAATCCTGCTTCCTTTTCCATCTTACAAATGTGCTTGAGGTAGAAACAAAGGGGCCAAACCAAAAGTATGTGTTTCTAGTAGCCCTTGCCTTCCAGTATGGTTTACTTCAGCCAGAAAGGTCTTCACAGGTCAGTTAAATAGGAAAAGGAAACTTGTAATCATCCAAGAACAAGGAAAGAAGTGCCAGAGACTTACTGCATAATGTAGTGACTATAGGTTACAAATGACCGTGTTCTTGAAAATTGCTCAGAGGTTCACTAGCATGTGTGAGGCCTGGGTTTAATATTTAGCACTGACCCCCCCCCCAAAAAAAAAACACTGTGAAAATGAGTTCTTGCCACAAAACAATAAACAAAAACCAAAACAAACAAAAAAGGCTTATGAGTTAGTCTGTATGCCAATTTGCTTCATTTGGTTGTTCTACAATATGCCAAACATGCTGAATACTCTCAATACTTACAATTTTCACTTGTCAATTTAAAAATTAAAAAAATCTGGGCTGGACAAGGAGGAACATAATTTTAATCTCAGAGTTCCATGATTTATATAGCCAGGCTAGTTAGGGCAACATAGTGAGACCCTGCCTTAAAAAAAGAAGAGAAAAAGTAATCTGGTTTGAGATAAATGTTTAGCTCCCATTACTAATTCCTATTGTGTAATAATATTGACTGGCTGGAGAGATGACTGGATGTCTCATTCCCTGATTATTGAGTAATCTAAAGTTACAAATGTAGGTGTGTGCCTAAAGAAATGCAGTTCTAGAAGTTACAAGTTGACTAGATTGTGTCTCATAAGGATCACAGAGTATTGTGTATATTCTTAAAAAAACAAATAAGATTCATAAGTAATAGAAGACATATTTACTGGCCTTTTTGCTTTAGAAAAAGCCTCCCTCAGTGAGCAGATTTCTTTTAATAAGAAAAAAATTTAATGTAGCATTTAAAAATATATATATTGTGTATATGGATATTTTGCCTGCATGTACATCTGTGCACCACATGTATGCCTAGTACCCATGGAGGTCAGAAGAATGTATTGGATCCCTGGGGTATGGAGTAACAGATAGTTATGAGCCACTGTGTGGGTTCTGGAAATTGAACCCCAGTTCTCTGGAACCACTGAACCATCTCTGCAACCCCAAGACATTCTTTGTATTTAAAATCATCTCTTTGATGGTGTCCTATTTCTCTGGCTCTGTTTCACTATAATTTAGTAATATTTATGTTTTGTGTTAATTTGTATCTTTAAAGCAAGAACAATATGAAAGTACCATTGGCTTCAAGCTTCCTAGTTACCGAGCAGCTAAAAAGCTATGGAAAGTCTGTGTGGAGCATCATACGTTTTTCAGGTATTGTTCTCACTCAAGCAGTTCTCAGGGATACATTATTTGTACATATTTATTTTGAACCTGCTATTGAAATTGTCTCCTCTGCAAGGCTGGCACTTTATTTAGCTCAGGTGAGAGTGAATCAAGGAAACTAATCAAGGAAAGTGAATCTAGTTCTCCCTCTTGGTTGGAAAGCATGTCCCAGCATTCCCAGAGTGCCTTTCTATGCACTCTAACAGGGCAGCAGAAGTGAGGAGTAAGGCCTGGTATTTGTTAGAGGCTCTGGTTGTTCTCACGGCGGCTCAACTCAGTCCTGGACTTGGGTTGTTACAGTTCAGCCTCCCGATGGCTTTGTAGCCTTAAGTAACTTCATCCCAGAATGTTTTAATATCCAGTGTCTGTAAAATGAAGAAAACATTTCTTCAAGGATGTAGTGTAAAGCCTACAGTGCTATCAGCCATTTTGAAAGCCATAAAATCTTATTTATAGAGACTTAAGTGTTTTTAATATAGGTTCCAACTAAACTTATTCTGATTTCTTGAGATATGGCATAGACTTACAATATTGCTTGACTAGAAATCTCTTAACTACTAAAAAACCATAAGAATTTGGAAACGCTTTTATTCTTGGTTGATTTTTAGTTATTTATAGTCACAATAATAAAATAATGAAGTAGCACAATTATGATTTTTCTCTCCCAGACTGACTTCTACAGACACCATTCCCAAAAGTAAATTTCTTGCCCTGGGATCTAAATTTCGATACAGTGGCCGGACTCAAGCTCAGACCAGACAAGCCAGTGCTCTGATTGACAGGCCTGCTCCGCACTTTGAACGGACAGCAAGCAAACGTGCGTCCAGGAGCCTTGATGGAGGTTTGTATTAGATATTATTGTGCTCTTTAGAGAAAGAAAAAGGAAGTATAAGGGTTTTTGTTTGGTTGTTTTTTTTGCATTGTTTTGAGAGAGTGTGTACTATATCTCAGACTGGCCTCCAGCTCCTTAGCCTCCTGTCCTGACCTCCTGGAGCTGGGGTGGTAAACATGCCAGCATGCCCAACTGGGAAGTATGGTTATTTATAAGAGAATCCGACTGTCTTTGGTTTACAAAGAACCTCAGTGGTAAAGTGAATGGGTGCTACTGTCTAATTCAGACCCAAGAAAGTCAGGCTGGGGTGCTGCTGTTCACCTTTGACCCTAGCACTCCCAGCACTCAGAGGCAGAAGCAGGTGGATCTCTGTGCCAGCCCGGACTACATAGCAAGTTCCAGGCAGACAGAGCTGCATAGAGAGACTCTGTCTCAAAAACATACAAACAAAAATCCCAACAATGGAGTTAAGAAAACCATCTTAAGAAAATGAGAACTGAAGTTTGACTGCAGGGCAGCAATGGATAAAGACCAATAGATTTATATCAATATTTAACTCATTTTTACTTTGTTTAGTCACTTTTTTTTACATCTGCTATGTACTTAGTATTCCCTGGAGATACTGGTATGGGAATCAAATATGGCCTCTGTCTTCATGGAGTTTTATTCCATAGGTAGAGATAGAAACAAAACAAAATAACTTCAGGTGGTCATGAGTGCTATGAAGAAAATAAAATGCAAGAAATGATGTACAGAGCGTCCCTAAGTGGGGAGATTAGGGGGCTGTTTCGGATTAGGTAATCTAGTTAAATTCAGAAGGTTCCCCAGAAGAATGTCATTCAGCTGAGACCTGAACTATGAGACGTAACTGGCAATCCCAAAGTCTGGATGGAGCATTCCAGATGAAAGAGTAGCAAGTACATATCCTTGAAGGGAGGAGTGAGCTTTGTCTGTCCCATAGAACTTTCTGTGCCAGTGAAAACGTGTTGTGATGTTGATTTAGAACCACTGTATGTGGTTGATAAGAACCTGAAACGTGGCTGCTGCTGAGGAACTGAGCTTTCCGTTTAAGAACAATTGTCCGGGCAGCACAGGTGTAAATTCTAGTAAGCACAGGGGAGAGGAATGTGGGGGAGAGATGATGGCAGCTTGCTTAAGTAATGTCCACTGCAGTGGAAAGCAATTAGGGGTTCATTTTGTAAGTAGGGCTGGCAGCATTGCTAATAAATTAAGTATCGGAAATGGCAAGGAAAAGAAAACCAAGTTTTATTCCTGTGTTTGGTCATTTGGTGGAAAGAGGGACTCCAGAAGGAGGCAGAGTCTGGGATGTAGAGAAGCAAGGTTTCTGTTTTGTGTTGTCACTCGACCTCCATCCCTTTGCTGTGTTCAGATGATACTATGGGGAGCTTCTTCCTGACCCAGTAGGCCCTGGCCTCCGGTTGAGCTTCCATGTGAGGAGCTGGATTTTAAAGCGATTTTCCATATATGAAAACTGATGGTGGAAAGTCTCAGAGAGGCTGAGGATCAACTATCTGACCAGTTATCATTTTCCTTTTTCTTGACGGAACGGATCAAACCCAGGACCGTAGGCATGCTAGCCATTGAGCTATGTCCTAACCCTGAATTAAAGTGTGTACACGCACAAGTGTGCACTGCAGTAGGTGTGTGTGTTGTACAATTCACATGGAGGCCAGAGGTTGACATCAAGGGCATTCCATGGTCACATTCCACCTATATTTTGAGACAAGGTCACTCCTGGAGCTTACCAGTTTGATAGGTTGGCTGGTCAGTGAGCTCCAGGGCTCATCTCCCCAACCCAGGGCTAAATTTACAGATGTTACTTAGGTGATGCATATGTGTTGAGGATCTGAAATCAATTTTGCCCAACATATTATTAAAATAGTAGCCCATAAAAAAATAAATATAAGGACTGGAGTATGATGTTAAAAGTTATTTATATTTAGAATTCATCAACTATTTTTCTGTTGAGTATTTTTCCCCAACTCTCCTACAGTTAGTGTCTTCCACATTCCACAGATGAGGAAACTCGAGTCTCTTTTTCTAGCACCACGGTGTGTGACTGAGGTTTACGTGTGATGTTCGGGGTTTGGATCTTGCCTGTTTCCTATTGCTATTCTCATGATCCTCCTGCCTCTGCCTTCTTCGGCAAATCCTACCAGTGTGCACCACCACAGCTCTTGTTGCTTTTCTTAGTGAGGGATGCTCGTTGTAACTGGTATTTTGCAGTTTCTGAACTATTGCCGCCTCTGTGTCTAACCATTAGTTTTTATATTTGTGTGTACTTTCCCATACACAGTAGGAATACCAAAGACATAAATCATTTGGCTCTGCAGTATTAGTATTGGATTAGAACCAAATTCATGTGACAAATAGCACATGATGAAAGCAAGGGCTATGTTTCTGTGATTCCAGGCAGAGTTGAATTAATTCTTTGAGAGGAGGTGTGAATACACATGTAATATGAGGCTTTAACACAACTGTGAGAAAAATATTTTGTCATTTTCCTTGTTTTGTTAGGTTTGCCTTGCCATCTGCCACTCTTGCATTGACTAGCTTAGAGCACCCATTAGCAACAGGGACTTGCAAGCGGCCACAGATCTGTCATTGTAAGATGAAATAGGCTCTGTGTTTCTGCTGTTCTTCTGCTAGGCATCCTCTGAGAAATTCTTCCTCTGGAGACCATTACAGGATAATAAGTGTTTCTCTCTTGGTGTCATATGTATAAGATAGTTGTAACTTTACATTTTTTCAATCTGTTCTAGCTTAAAGAAATCCATTGTTTTGCTTCATTTTTGAAGTTTATAAATCTAAATGTATCAGAATAAATTGCATTCAGTAGTCTGAAGAGAAAGGAATGTATGTAACAAAATTGTGAGGTTTTCATGAAAGAGTATTGAAACTAAAAGTCTCAGTACAAAAAATGGCCCCTTATCTGAAATAGTAGTCAGAGCCATTGAAATGGCTAGGTGGGTAAGACCCTCAAACAAGCAAACAAATAAAAAACAAAACAAAATTAAATCACATTTTTAAAAATGTACTTTCTTAAAACAGTGTCAAATTAGTAAGCTTTGTTACAAAATATATGGGTATTTTCTTTTTAAACCCTAAAAGAAGAGAACGAAGGCTAAAAGCTAAAGCTAATGAATGTTTCTTGTTTTATTTTGTGATGCTGCAGATGGGACCTAGCACCTCCTGCTTGCTAGGCAGTCTGTCACTGAGCTATAGCCCCAATCCCTGTATTGAATTAAGTTATCTAAAGTATAGATGCCATATAGGTCAAACCCAAGCAGCAGTTAAGTATGTGCAGAGGTTTTTATTGTCAGCCCGTCTTGTTTATTCTCTCCAAAGTGGTCTAGGTGGGCTTCTCCCCTAACTAGGGTTTCTCAGCCTCAGCAACTTTTGCCTCTATGCACTAGATGTCAGCACCTCCTTTCTCTGCCCCAGCTGTGCCACCAAAAAACATCTGCAGACATTGTCAAATTTGCCCTGGGGGGAAATAAGCCCTGGTTGACAGCCAGGTTCTGTCCTTTAGAGAACAGGCTGTAAGACATTGGTTAAGGTGAGGAGGGGCCTCCGTTAGCTTATGCTTCGTTTTTGGATGAGAGAAGCTTTTGAATTAATGTTAATCATATGATTTATTAAAGGAGAATGTCTGGCTCAAAGATTTGCCTTCACGCACATCAAACAGTAGTAGTCCCGGTCTTATCATTGGAAGAGCCATTTATCAGTTGTTTTGTAATCATTCTGTAGAGCTTCACTGAAAAGAACAAAAAAAAAAAAAAACAAGAAAACAGACTTCATTTCCCCTCTAGTCAGATGCTAGGTTCCTGAAACCATCTAAAAGCAAACAGATGCTTATTTCAAAAAGGCTTATTGGGAGAGCCGTCCTTGTTAAGTTTTTTTTTTTTTTTTAAGCTAGTAGATATAAATTAAATGGTTTTGCTTCCTTTCTTCAGTCTGCCCTGAATTCAGCATTTATAAAATAGTCATTAAGATGTCCTAGTTTCTCTGTTGAGGATGCATTTGTCTTGTAGCCTGCCATCAGGTATCTTGAAAAACACAAATAATTTGTGTTTTGCCTTCTGTATGATACATACAAGATTCACAGTTTCACCCTGTGACTTAAGGACAGGGACAGACACTTGCCTTCATCTATTTTTCTTCACTTAGCAGCAGCTGCCGAGTCCACAGACCGAAGTCCTCGGCCCACCTCTGCACCAGCCATTGCTCAGAGTCAGGTCACAGAAGGGCCAGGGGCACCTGTCAAAAAAACACAGAAGGAAGCTGCGAAGGTTGAAGCCAAAGGGGAAGAGGAGCCGCCTGAGCAAGCTGAGCCAGAGCCCACAGAAGCATGGAAGGTATGTCTTAGAGACCTTACATCAGCTAATGCACGTTCTGAGTTACAGATGTTTTCAGAGCAACTGGTTCTTACAGATTCCCAACAAAGTTGCTTTTTCTCATTGTTTCTAAAAGAAATCGTCTCTTAACAACCTCTTGTATATTTTTGTAGAACTTGATTTCCAAATGATATTTCATCAAGCACATTTATATAGCTATTTAAAGTCTTTCTAATTTTTTAGGGTTATTTTTTTATTTTATGTGTATGAGTGTTTTGTTTGAATTTATGTATGTGCACCATGTGCATGCCCGGTGTCCTCAGAGGTCAGAAGAAGGCATCAGATCCCCTGGAACTACAGTATGAGCCACCATGTGGGTGCTGAGAGTCAAACCCAGGTCCTCTGCAAGGGCAGCCAGTGCTCTTAACTGCTGCATCATCTCTCCAGCCCAGTTCTTTAGACAGTACACAGCTAGCTGAGGAGAAGATCTGTTGTGTGGGAGAAGTTATGCTGCTGAGTTGAGTATACCCATAGTCCCTGCACTGAGCTGAAAAATCACCAGTTAATTAGCAAATCTCCAAGAAGTCATAACTGGGCTGGTCTTATTTATATGTTCAAGCTTTTAAAATAACATTTACACAATGCTAGTTTAGGTCTGTTAAAGTAGATGCAGTTCTCACTGTTGTTAAGGGACTATGGGAAAAGGCCTTCATAAGAATGACATTTCACTGCCTGGTGGTGGTGGTAACACACAACTTTAGTCCCAGCACTTGAGAGGCAGAGGCAGAGGCAGGTGGATCTCTGTGAGTTCAAGGCCAGCCTGGTCTACAGAGTGAGTTCCAGGACAGCCGGAAACCCTGTCTCAAAAAACCAAAACAAACAACAAAAAAAAAAAAGATATTTTATGTTAAGACCTGTTCTTTTGGAGCCAGCTCAATGTCTGATTTAATATAGAACAGTAGACAGCTATTTTTTTAATTGTTAAATTTCTGTCTTTAAGTGAATGAGTAATGAGTTTTTACACTTTTGTAACTAGCCTGGTGCCCATGACATTAATCTTCAGGCTCTGTGTGGCCTTTGAATACCTGCTTGTTTTTTAATGTTATAATTTACCAGCTAGCACTTCAGACTATGTAGGCTATTGCAGGGGCTCTTCCTGAATGGCTAAGATACCTCTGGTCTTCTGCTGTCTCGCTGTTTGTTTTCCTTCTGCCCATAAAACTTGCAGGTACTTCAAAAGTAGGTTCCTTCTGCTCTTGGAACTTTGGCAGAATGAAGTGGGTTTTCTGTTTACCAGGCTAGCCTCGAACTCCTGCACTCACAAAACCCTGGGACTATAGGCATGCCCCACTGCTCCCTTCTTTTTGGCCTTACTTCTTAAACTGAAGCAGTGGCACTTCATTTTCTGCTGCTAGATTCTAAGGACCCAGAAGGACATTATTGGTTTAACAAAGAACTTAAGCTTCATGAGATAATTTAAAACTAGTATTTGTAGAGTATACATAATTCTATGAAGACATTATGTCTGCTTTAATTCGGGCATGGTGGCACATGTCTATAATTCCAGATCTTGGGAAATGGAGTTGGAGGCCAGCCCAGGCTACATAGTGAAACTCCTGTCTCAAAAACAAACAAACAAACTGAAGACAGACATTTTCTTCATTTTATTACTTAAGAAAAGCTAAGCTCAGACAAGTGAACTAACGTGCTCACTGGGATCTAGACTAGAATGACCCGATTGTTAATTGCTCCTGGTAGTTAGAAGTAGTATGGTTGGGGGTGTGTATATGTTTGGCAGTGTTACAAAGGCTGCTATTACCTAATTTTTTTTTAAATTCAACCTAGGGAAAATAGCACAGTGACATTGTTCTCCAGAGCAGTGCTGCTTTGTGTGATTTAAAAGATATGTCAAAAACCACAAGTTGATGAGGTTCTGTAAAAAAATGAGTAATATAACAAAACTGATTTAACCCTTAAGTTTCTAAATTTAAAATATATGGCACTTCATTCAGTACTTGCCCTATTGTGTTTCCTCATCGTAATCAGGTTTTAAAATAATTACTCCAGTTTCTGAATATAAGATGGTTATTTCTAGAGGTATTCCAAAGATACACAGGCATCCCTAGGATAGTATTCATCTGCTACTACTGAGCATAAATCTTGCCTGTCTGCCAAACGCGTGGTTCCAGCTTTCTAGAGAGGAGACTGTAATGTTGGATGCTTCAGCTGAGGTGGAATAGTTGCACGTCACTACAGTTTGTTTGTAATTTATTTTGATGCGCTCTTTTTTGATAAACTGAAGAGTAAAATCGTCTCCGTAAATGTACTGATCAACTAACAGACTCTTGTATTTATCTGTTTGGTGTCTTGCATGCTTTATTATTTTAACTATAAAAACTATTTCTACCATGTATATTACACATTTATATCTCTATTTATCAATCTGTTCTTAAATATGATTTAAAGTACTTCTAGGGCTGGGAAGATGACTAAGTGAATCAAGTGTTTGCTTGACCTCAGGTCTTCAAAACCCTCATAAGAAGCCACATGCAATAACACTTGTGTCTGTGAGGCAGAATCAGGAAGACATGACACACACCTCAGTGGGCAAGAGAGACCCTGTCTTGAGCAAGGTAGAAGCTGAAACTGACACACACACACACACACACACACACACACACACACACACAGCCCTTCCAGGACATTGCTTTAGTGTGTACTTTTTTATACAAATAAATATTAAAATGTTTTCATCAACAGAATGATGAGCTCAGTTTTCATTTTTGGTAGTGTGGCTATCCATATCACCACTTCAGCCTTGAATCTCTGATGATGAACTAACAGATTGTACTGGGAGTAAAACCTCCCCTTTTGTGGTGATCATTTTTCAGCACATTTAACCCCCAGCTTCATGAAGCTGTTTAACTATTCATGGAACCCTGCTAACCTAAAATGTTTCACTATTTTATCTCTTAAATATAGGTGGAAAAAACCCACATCGAGGTCACAGTACCTACCTCAAATGGTGACCAAACACAGGTTTGTGCCAATAGGCCGCTTGTCCCTTCCCTCCACCCCAGTTTTAAATTCCCCCCACTCCACTTTCTTTAAAAGTAAATAAAAGGTTTGAACAGACTTCAACGAGCCAATATGTTATCTTTTTTTTCCTTTATTGAATTGTGGCAAAACAGAAGCCTGCAGGAAAAACTGAAGACCTGATAAGAGTGAGGAAGGTCAGCCATTTTCTGCTCTCACACAAACTACCCTGCCATTCCACCCGTGCCGATGACTGTGTTAAAAAGACAGTGGTCCAGCCCTTGATTTTCCTCATTAGAGAGCCAGTCAGTATGTGGGGAACCTTCAAACAGTATAGTTGGGATGAGTATTTACACACACACACACACACACACACACAGAAATTAGAACCTTAGACTGTTTGCTGACTGGTTTTATCAAAGTAAGCTTCAGCAGAGAACTATCTTAACAAAATGTAGTGGTGAGGGGCAGACCTGTCTTTCATAAAGAACTTTCCCAATGGCATCATAATATTAGACTCATTAACATTTTATATACATTTATCACAAAAGCCATCACAACAACAGCACCTTCTAGCATTAATAGTATGAATTTAACTGCTGTGTGCTTATTTCCCAGCCTCAGAGTGGGATGAACCAGTTTTTACTGGATATACTTGTTACCCATTTGAATACAGAACACTGTAGAATTCAAGATACTGTAATATTCATAAGTATAAAACATTCCAGAAAGCTAATTTTTTTTAAAAACAGAATTTCTCCTCCACTCCATGATATATGGTGAGATAATATATATATATATACACATATATATATATATATATCTCAAAGGATAATATTCAAGTAGTTAAATTTTAAAAACAAACATAAAACAGCTTATTGTAAAGCTGGGCGGTAGTGGCGCATGCCTTTAAACCTAGTACCTGGGAGGCAGAGGCAGGCAGATCTCTGTGAGTTCAAGGCTACCTTGGTCTACAAAGCTACATAGAGAAACCCTGTCTCTAAGAATAAAAATAAAAAAACCAAAAAGCAAACAAACAACCCAGCTTATTGTGTTAGAAACTATGAAGCCAGGAGCACTGTCTATTTAAATAACATCATCTCAGCTTTCCATTGTTTGCAGACAAAGTCATCCATTCTTTTCTGGTAACTGTGTGTCCTTGTAGTTCTGTGACCATTTCATGTTGGCATATGCTGCATTGCAACATTTACTTTTAACTGTTTTTTTGTTTGTTTGTTTGCCAATTTGCAGTTTGTTCCCCTGCAAGAACAACATTTTAATTTTTTATGCTTCTGTTTTTTTTCCCTTTTCATTTTCACAGAAAAAGAGAGAGAGACTAGATGGTGAAAACATTTATATCAGACATAGCAATTTAATGTTGGAGGTTTGTATGAACTTGAAGCTTATTTCAGTTGGTTGCCTGGAACCTTCTGCATTCTTTGCTGATCCCCTTCATCCTTTGCTGCGTTTGGTTTTGCATGACACTGCATGTGAGATTTTTAGGTTTAAAGTGCTTTTGCATGTTGGTAAACACGAAGATATGCAATCATCTCTCCTAACTTTTAGTTTCCATCTCATTTTATCTAGAAAAATATATGATTGGAGCTGTCTCCCCCTCTCATGGTCCTGCCGTTTTACCCCCTTTCAGAAAATTCAAACATCATTCCCACAAGTTTCTTGAATTTTCCAAGAATATAAAAACTCCAAGAAACAAATTTGCACTGTTTTTTTTTTTTTTTCTTGTTTCCTGAACTGAGAAGAGTATCAAAAAAGAGGGAAAGTGATCACAATTAATAAGGGCTTGCTCATTGGAGATAGCACAAGATTGTTAAAGGAAGACACAAGAAAGAAGGAATCCTAAGGGCCTTTTCCTATTACATTCAGTGTTAACCAGATTTTTACCTCAATTCATATACTTTATCAAGGCTAGAGCTACACATTGGATATGAAATGCAAAAGCAAACTGGATATTAGAGGAACTCAGTGATAAAAAATTAAGGTAATTGGAATTATTCTCTGTGGAAGAAAGGAAGACCAGTGTAATTTGTACACTGGGAAGTTGAAGTATAGAAGCTGAAGGCTACATAACAATTCAAGGCAGAACCAAAAGAAACGAGAATAAACTCATCTCACAGGGAGTTAGCTTCCCTGTGAAGGAAACAACCAATGTGGTTTCTGCTGGCAGGAAGCTTACAGTGTGGGGAACTGGTGGGAGAGGAATAAAGATGAGTGAAGAGCCATGCCATAGTTACAGGCTGTCAGGGAAAACTGTAGGAGATGAACACTGTGCTTTGCTACAGGCAGCGAGGTCCCTATGGAGTTAGCATTTCCAATAGCTGTCTTGCCTTGGCCTCTTGAAGGCATTGCAGGAGGGTGCCATTGTATCCAGTGGGGTAGCATTTAATTGAGACTTGAGACCTGAAAGGACAGCCTTGTATTAAATATCTCCAATATGAAAGATTGAAGAAACTTGAAAAAACAAAAACAAACAGGTCTCTGGTCAGGCATGTAGGATTGTGGCTACATGAGACCTAGTCTCAAAACAAAAACAAAACAACCAACAAAAAAGGGCCCAAACATATATTAAAAATAGGTTTCTCTAGGGACATGGGAGGATGGAGGGAGAGGGAACTGGGATTGATATATAAAATAAGATTATTTCTAATTTAAATAAAAAAGTAGATTTCTCATTACTAATATGGCCTGTAAAGATTATTTAATTTAATTTCATTTTTTTCATTTTTTGTTAGCTATACTTTTAATATCTGCTATATAAGGTACATTAATACAAATAATAAAAATTGTGAATGGTCTTCATTAATTGCATATTGAATGATAGACACAATGCCAAGTGCTTTACACACACATATATGTGTGTGTGTGTATATATATGTATATATATGTGTGTGTCTGTGTATACACACACACATGAGACTACATATATATATATATATATATATATATATATATATATATCCTTATATAACATAAAATTTCTAAGTTCAGACTCAAACTTAGAAGCTGGCTGTCTCTGTCTTAGCCCGTACCTGAGGCCTGAATTGTCTTTGGAGATTAGGAAGGACAAGAGTAGTTTGGTGATCACCTCTTCTCAGTGCTATATCTCCCCACTTTAAATGCGAACATTCTCTGAACCTGTTGTGCCAATCATATATTTGTCATTCATTCCACGAGGTGTGTTGTTGCTTCTGAGACTCACAAATTTCCTGCATTATGCTGTGTTTTCTTCCGTGGCATTTTACTGAGAGCCCTGAGAGGGGATTTCTGAATAAGTGTGTGTTTGGAATTTAAAATTACTAACTGCCTTTTGAGAACATTTAACAAAGTGTTTGGTTTTTATTTAAGATGATACCCCTCAAAACTTATCTAACCTGAATGTAACATGACATAATTTGACCATCATTCCTTAGTTATTATTTAAAAAAAAAAAAAAATATCCCTAAGGAAGTTCTCTCAAGTTATCTGTCACTCTGGCAGTTTTTTTTTTTTTTTTTTTTTTTTTTTTTTTAAGCATTCTTTCCCACCTTCTCTTATCACACCCCCACTAATGCTTTGTTCTGGCACAAATAAGGTCGAGTTCATTTTTAGATCTACCGCCTCCTCCTCCAGCTCCCAGAGAGAACCTGTAGCAAATGTCTATGACAAACTCTATTTGGAACAGGTCCCTTTGAGATCTTAATTTTATTCTGTGCCCCCACAGGTTTCCACAAAGGCAGCTAAGAAGGATGGAGAAAGCTCCCTCAGAAGCTTCAGTTTTATTGAAAAAAATGTATCTTTCTCAGGTTCCAAATCAATCAAAATCTATACTAGAAGAGTTACAGATCAGCAGGCTCAGCTCAGGCTGGGTCAGAATTGTGTTTATCACATTATCTCTTGGTCGTTTTCGTTTTGCCTTGTTTGTCCTTTTAATCAGCATAAATGTGTTCAGTTGTTCTTGTCCAAAACAGATTTAACACCAGTCGGGAGCTGGGTGACACTCTCACAAGCCTAATGGGGCTCGGTTGCTCAGCTAAGACTGAGCTCGCACATGCTTTTCTTCAGCTGGTTAGGGCACCCTCCCTTCTCACCCAAGCTCTTGTTCCTGAGATACACTCACATTTCTTCTTAGTAAGCAAGAAATGCTCTTTGTGGGAGCTACAGTTACTTTTGAGGCTAGTTTTCTCTTTGCACTCTAAGCAAATACACATGAGTCAGTTCTTGCAAAAACAGAAAAGAGTCTAGTTTATGAGTTTCTGAAGGAGCAATTCCAGAGTCCAGATGTCATGTGGGTCCCGGGTTTTTGTTTTTTTTTTTTTGTTTTGTTTTGTTTTATTGTTTTCTCCTTGATGATGGTTTGGAGAAAGTTTTATTTAGTTAGGATCTTTCTTGCTTGCAGGGAAAAAAAATTGTAAACACATGTTGTAAAAAATACTAAATTCCAGCCGGGTGTTGGTGGCATACGCCTTTAACCAGCACTCAGGAGGCAGAGGCAGGTGGATCTCTGTGAGTTGGAGGCCAGCCTGGTCTACAGAGTGAGTTCCAGGACAGACTCCAAAGCAATACATAGAAACCCTGTCTTGAAAAACCAAAAAAAATAGAAAAAAGAAAAGAAAAACCAAAAAAACTAAATTCCACTTTATTTTGTTTTTATTTTTGTTTTCCAAAATGAAATTATTTCCCACAATGCCAAAAATAGATAAATCCCAAAGTTCACAGCATGTAGGGAGATCTATTTAGCATCATGCTTTTCTTAGATATAATGCTACCCTGATGGGAAATAAACATGAGATTGTTTTTATGGCTTCAGGTTGCAGCTATTGTGACCTGAAACTCAAACTTTTGAGTTTTTCTTTGTGTGTGTGTGTGTGTGTATGTGTGTGTATTGTTAGACAAAGACCAGTTGAGTCTTTGTTTTCAAGTTAAATTTATCAGATACCTTTTGATCTGATGTCCTGTGTAAAAAATTATTATGTATCTCTTTTTAACCACAAAAAATCTGAATATGTCTTAGCCTATGCTTTATTATCCTTAGTTTCTATCATCTCTCCCAAGAATGTTATCTTAAAGAGCTTTTCATCTACCTCTAGTTGTCCAGTATTCCCGCTGCTGGAACAACTGTATTGTTTTAAATTATCCAGGAGAGACATGAGAGTCTGTTGACAGTCATTGGAAGTGTTGATGATCAAATCCAAGGCTGTGTGTATACTAATAAGCACTCTACCACTGAGCTACCCACCCAGCCCCAGTAAGTCCTTATTTTGTATTGTATTAAGAGAAATGAAACTGGGAAACCATAAGGTTTTTATAGAATATGAGTATATATATATTTATTTGTGAAGTGTGAGGACTGAAGTTCAATGCCTAGAACCCAAGTAAAAGTGCTGGGCATGGAAGTGCATACTTGTAATCCCAGAGCTGGGGGAGTGAACACAGAGCATCCCTGACCTGGTGGTCCAGGCCAACGAGAGACTCTGCTTCAAGAGGAGGTAGAAGTGTTTCTGAGGGGATCCCTTAGGTTGTTCTTTGACCTGTACTTGCACACACACATACATATGCATTATTTTAAAAAAAAATCTTTGAAGTCATTTTATTTTTTTAGCAGTAATAACAATTGGCTTTTGGATGCTGGAACTAGGGATTTCAGTAATAAATTCCTGGGTCAAAAAAAGTCTTAGTAATAGAGAAGCAAAAGTATTACAATGGACAGAGAGGGACACTGCAAGGATAGCAGCTAGTAGAAGTTGAGGTCATTCCCCAGTTTCCCTATTGCTATCTCCATCCTGCCTGAGCTGAGCCTAAGTCAGTTCTCATCCAGCTGAGCTAATTGAACTGTGAGGTTACCTTTTCAGGATGAGGAGGTGGTGGTCTGGTTTTGCATCTTTGTGGAAGAGGCATTACACAATTACAGAGCAAGCTCTTTGTGGGCAGCTTAACCTCCAAGAGCTGTGGGACTGCGATGCTTCACTGCTTCCAAGTACAGCACTTTGTTTAGAAACAAACAAACAAACAAAAACCAGGAAAGAAAGAGAGGCAAACAATGTTGTACGTTTACAATCCTAATGCAGAACACAGGCCAGTCACATCTGCGCTGGATGTGGTGTTTCCTGCCAGTGCCTAGTCTCTAATAGGTTGCCCCTGGTGTGTTTTTTGTCCCAACTATTTATTGTTTTACATCTTTGTCCTTTCAACTGTAGGATTTAGACAAGAGTCAAGAAGAAATAAAAAAGCATCACGCCAGCATCAGTGAACTGAAAAAGAACTTTATGGAATCTGTACCTGAGCCACGGCCTAGCGAGTGGGACAAGCGCTTATCCACACACTCGCCCTTCCGAACTCTTAACATCAATGGCCAAGTCCCTACTGGAGATGGAGTAAGTACTTTGTCCACATGACTGTGAGGCTGAATGCAATAGGTATTTTAATTATGTATGTTAATATTCTGTACCTGAAAGTCTAGAGCTGAAATTTGGCTTTATAGCAGTTTGTTGCTGCTGTAAAAAAAAAACATTAATAGTCAAACACTCCTGATCATTTACACAGTTCAATTGTAGGAGGCCTTTAGCATTACTAGTGGATGTCTGGGCTCTGAGAACTGCTCGAAGCTGCCTGCTTCTGGCTATTTTTTCTTTTTTTTTCTTTTTTTTTTTTTTTTTGTGTGTGTGTGTGTGTGTGTGTTTATAAATTGACTTCAAGCCAGTAAAGCTTTGTTTATATTAAAAAATGTGCCTTCCAGGACCAGAGAGCTTGCTAAACTTAGTAAGGTCACAACTGGAAGGGAGTACATTTTTTTAAAAACTTTATTTGAACATTTGTACAACTTAGAAATGTCTGGAATGATTGCTCATGGTTATATAAGAAACAAAGGAGGCCCTGAAGCCAGAGAATGTAGAACACTCAGTTTCACAAAAACAACTGATGATTTATCTTGAATAACATCAAACCTTCAACCAGCTGTTTTATGAGGCAATTCCAATCAGAAGAGGCCAGCGATACCTTTCGGTGTCTGTTTTCTACTATTGTTACTGTTTCCTACTTTGGAAACCCTACCTCAGAATAAATAGATCTGTTTAGAGATAGTATCTTGTCAAACTTACATCTAAAAAGTCTTTATCTCTAGCCAGTGTGCCATTTATATAAACAGTCACCATAACTTAATGACTGATTGTATATTTTTTAATTGTGTGCTTGTTTTGCTTCTTCCCAACAATTGATGCTCTAGTTGAGAAAGGCAAACTAATATCCCCAATCAAAACTTGAGGTTTACCAGGCATGCCCCTGTGTCATACTCCATGTGAGGCTGAGGCAGAAGGATTGCCTGAGTTTAGGGTTTTGAAACAAAACTGGATAACATAGTGAGACATTTTCCCAAAACAAAACACAAATTGTGTTTACATTTTTTTTTTTTTTTTAGGATTCTTGGTAAGTTATCCAGTTATATAATTTATTACTTAGTTTCTGCAGCTGCAGACAGGGATAAAAATTCTTCCAAGAAAACCTGTTCTGTTTTTCAAATTTAGATTAAAATCAGCTAAGAGATTCACAATTGAGGTGGGAGGACTCCTCAGTAACAGGCAGCTGAGCAGTTATTGGGGTTGTAGGATACGGTTGTTCCCGATCATTGTCCTCTCAGACCTTGTTCCCAGACATACATGCCCATTACTTTTGTGTCCTTAGTTTATAGTATATACTTTAAACTGTGAAAATAACCCCTCCTGGGTAAGACCATCACTCTGAAAGGCAGATAATTGATGTGTCCTCAGAAATAAGACTCATAAAGGTCCAAGGATAGTTGCAGTTTGATCGACTGAGAGGGTCTGGCCGTCAAAGCTTAATGAAATGCTCTGAATAAGCCATTTGTCTTGTTGGGCCTGTTTATAGAATGGGTGATCTCAAATGCCCTTGCTTATTCTGGTGTTCTACACACGAGATAGCTTGTTGCTATCTCATCTGTTTATCCCCTACAAACTGTACTTGTATATTTTTCTAGTTCTGTTTTGAATTCTGAAAGTAGTTTGAAAAAGTAACTTGATGCTGCCTTGGATGTCATTGGGTAAATTTGTATTGGTCTGCATTTTCAGAAAATAGCATATGTCTTTGAATAGAAACCCTTTAGAAATCACCCTAAGACTAGTTTGGGGATGGCAGTGCCATTCTGTGAACTTTAAATAAATGACTTCTTATAAACTCAAATCAATTCCTGAGGGATGCTCAAATAATTTTAGCTTTACACACACACACACACACACACACACACACACACACACACACACACACACCTGTATTCCCTCTGAATGAATATGAATGATGGACTAAATGACTATACTGTCTTAATCTTTTGTATGGGGACAACTCTAGTTTTTGGCATATCTTTTTATGGTTAGGTTAATGTTTCTGTTCTCTGGGGATACGTGTCCTACCTTTGGCAGCATTGTTGTTGCATTGCAAGGCAACTGAACTTTATATAATTTGTGTATGACCAGGTGAAGAAAACTCCTGCCCTCCCCTCGGAAAGAAAGGTTGGTGGGCCAGAGGTAATGCTGCTGCTGTGACTGCGCTGCACAATAGAACTTGCTCTGGTCATGGCTCTAAGCAGAGATCCCAGAACTCAGCAACAGTGGCTGAACAATTCTTTTCTTTTGCTACACTAGTAAATCCACACCCACAGCCTTTGGCCTAACATATCATACTTGCAGCATCTGCCACAGTTTTCAATTTGCTTTTTTCAGTGCATGGCTGGTTGAAAAAGCTGCATGAAGATGTTAATATGTACTCAGAGAGAAAATAAATTTAATTATACCCTATTCTTTTTATGTTGTCTTTCTTCTCCCACCTTGTTTTCATTTAAAAATCATCATGATTTTGCATCCTATCTTTCCCTTTTATTCTTTTTGCTGACCAGTCCCCTAGCTACTTTCTCCCTGATACATATCACTTAGGGGTGTGCAAAGAACCAGTATTCAACTTCCAAACTGACCAGAGAAGGCTAGCGCAACTAAGAGAACTCAGAGCCAAGTTTTTCCTTTCATAGAGACTTTCTGCATTGACCACAGACAGCAGAATACAGAGCCGCAGGAGGAGAAAAGTCTCAGTTGGGGATAGATCTTCCCGTAAAAGTTATCAGAAGTGTTTACTGAGTATATAACCCTTCATGATGATCATTACTATTTTGGTCAGGGTTCTAAGGCTGTGCAACTGTTGGATCTTGTGGGAATGTATTTTCCTTTCTTTTCTTGTTTTTCTTTGTCCCTGTTCCCACCCCAGGGTAGACCCTGGAGGCACATTATAAATATTTATACATTTTGTTCTTATTTTGACGTTTTTACTACCTCTATTCCCCCTAAGCAAAATCTAATTCTCATACTGAGCTATTGCATTGAAGTCTTTTTGAAGAGACATGAAAATTGCTCTTTATATTCTGCCATTCTATTAGTTAGTCAGAGTAACTTTACTTGTGACAGGAAGAATGCTTCATTATTGACATTGCCTGATCCAGTGATTATTTGTGCACTAAAGCAGTTTCAAGCAACTTGGAATCCATATGTGAAAGAAAATCCTGTGTGAACAGCCTCAGTGAGGGAATAAATGATAGAATGAAGGAAAGCCAGTGATTGCTTGAACTTTCAAGTATTCCAATGCCAATTTATTCAAAACATTAAATTTTAATTTAATTACATAGTTAGATCTGCTGGGTTCTAGAAACTGCTAGGTCAATTGCCAAAGAAAAGAGAGGCTAAAATCAAGACTGTCCAATATTTCCACACCTTTGCACATCCCCAAGTATCACTTTTAAGCATTTTCCATCTGTCATTTTGTTCATCTTTCTCTGTCTTTCTTGATCTTCTATCGTGAAAGCAGACACAGGAACGTGCTCTGTTAGTACAGGGTGAAGAGAAAATTAAAAGGCCAGAGAGACCCACTGAGAGAACCTTGCCCCAGCAAGAAAATGAAGAGATTCCTCCCAAGGTTTCTATTCCAATCCCCGAGGAACACAAGGCTCTCAAAAAGTGCCACCTCTACTCTAGTACTTTCCCGTCTCCTCGTATTCCTTTCATGATGTCTTTTCTCCTGGTCCTTGCACTGGCTGTTTGGTGGTTGATCTTTCTATGATTGGAAAACAGGGTGCTCGTCTGACACATCAAGACTAAAACCATTGAACTCTTGTCTATGATTTCAAATGTGTAATTACCTATGTCATACCTCTGGTCTTGATCGCTTACTATTATAGGGCCCTTTTGTGGTCATGTTTCCTGTCAATAACCAAATGTGGATCTTTGGAGAGTATATATTGTGAGGAAAAAGGAGTAGCAATGGATTGTTCAAGCCAGTGCTCCTGCCCCGAAGTTAACACATTTAGGCAAATTGGATTGAGGCGCATGGCAGGTGGTACTCACCCAAAAGCTACCCTGCATGCTCTTACAGTTGATGATTGCTGTGTCCTCTTTTCCAGTGTCTCGCAGAGGCTGGAATACATTGAAAACATTTGATGGACTATTTTCCAAGTTTTCTATAGCCATTTATGTGGCATGGGCTTCATAGTTTAAGAAGAAATTCAAATTCCCAACCTTTCAAAAGCCTTAAAATGATAGTTTTAATCCAAAAAAAAATCCATAACCACTCCTTTTCTTAAGAGTATCGAATCAGTGCATACAAAGGCCTTTCTGAAGGGGCTGTGACACCTGTGGCCTTTTTGTTAGTGTTCATGAGCTGCACAGGATAGACTACTGTCTCCTACCTGGTGTATGGAAGAATCACTTAGAGGTTAAAATGCTGTCTTTTCATACTTAGAGTTGATTTAGTTTAGGGAAATGGTGCTGGTGTTCCTTGGCCTCCAACCAGGGCTGAAATTTTCAGACTACCTACCTTTAAAAGTCCTGGAGTACTTCAAGATGTGTATGTAAACACACTTTTCTCTAAATTAAAATGCTGTTATTTCCTGTGGCTTAAATAGTTATTGCTAGAAGCAATATTTAGCTGTTATAGTAAACTTAAAAGATACTTTGTTTCCTTGTGCTTCAGACCTGTTCTCACACTTGTGTTGAAATAATTGTTTCTAATCAATAGCCTTGCGATCTAAGCTTCTATTGTGACACGTGTCTAGTTTGCATGTGGATGATGAGGCTTCCCTGAAGTAACAGTGAGCACGCCCTCCTCAGAGCACCACTTGGATGCCTAAATAGTAGTTTTTCGCCTTACTATTTATTGACTTGCATGATGTCACTTGCTTTCTATGGCATTTGGACACATCAATCTGGACAAATTGTTAACTTCTCAAACTCTGTTTCCGATTCTGAGTCACTTAGGGTTGTCTCATTGAGACTACATTTTGTATTACTTCTTAGTGCTTTTTGGTCAATGAAATTTCTAAAGATGGCTTTTGCCTTTGAAATGATGGAGGGGGAAGGAGAAAGAGAAACAGTAAGACCAAGATTATTGCTGTTCTTCTATGTTCACTAGTATTGAGCTGTTGTCTTGACAGACATGACTATCTGGTATTTACTGAAAAGTGCTGTGGTACTCTGTCATTATTGGAGTTAAAAAAACAAACTGGAAAAGAACCAAGGACCAGGCTATATAAAAAACAAACAAACAAACAAACTGGATGTATATGGTTTGTGTCACAAGTTATGTCTGTTTATAGCAAATATTTTGTAAAAAAGAATATTTATTGATTCACTCGTAAGAAAAGAGGAATTGCAAAGCCACCTTAAGTACTGCAAAGCTGCTTTTCAAGGCAGAATGTGATCATCATAGGTATACCCCTTTATCTGTGAAACAGATGTAAGATTTCCTTAATGAACTAACAAAGTAGTATTGGTTATGTTATTGTCTTTTTTTAGGAATTAAAAGGAAAATAACCTTAAAATTTTATCAATACTTTTGTAACTTTCAAATTATATTTCCTAAAGTTCTAGTTTTCATCATTGTACACAACTTTTTATTAATTATTGTAAACATCACCCTGCATTTTGTTTCTTTTTCTATTGGAATTATTTCAAATCCATTAAAAGTTTAGTGTGAGCCAATGGTGCTGTTCTGTGTTCTGAAGTGTAGCAAGGATCCTCAGAGGTCTTTGCTGACAAAGAAGCCATTTCTTATTAGTAAAGCTGCTCAGAGGAGGGTGCCACGTCCTTGTATTGAACAAAACTAACCAACATGGCTCAAAAGATAGATCTGTCACGGTTATCAAAGGACAAGCATTGGCTGCTCCAGCCTTGTATGATCTCAGGCTAATACTGTCAATGTTTGTAACATAGAGCTGCAAATAGCATTGCTTTCTTTCCCCTCACTTCAGCCTGCTCCCAGTACCATGGGCATTCTCATTGCTGGGTACCTCTACCCTGGGTCAGCTTCTTCATGGCAGATCCATAAGTAATTTGGACTAAGGATGTTTATACCGACCTGTGTAAAGTCTTGGATTTGTGCCTTGTTTTCCCATTGGACATTTCCAGAAAGTCACTTAACTATTTGGTGCCCATGTTACCAGCTAGTACCTTATGGACAGATCTTCCTCATGAGGATGAACTGTGGGATGTTTCGGGGAGTGATGGTAGTTCTGTCCTCTGTCTTTGAGGAGCTATGAAGATAGAATGCAAGGAAAAAGCAGACACACTAGAACTTTTGAGATTCTTATTTCTGGAAGTAAGCCAACAGCCATGTTTATTTCTGGCTGCTTCTGGCTGATAATTGACCAAGCATTTAAAACTAGTGAAGTTAAAAATGCCTTTCCAAATTTATCCATCTCTTAATAAATTCAGATGGTATTCTTCAAGTAGAGTGTACTTGGGAATTAAACCCTGCTTCTATATTTTAGACCCCCCCCCTTTTTTTTTTCTTATTTGCTTATGGCTAGCATTTGTAGTATGAAGTAGATTCCATTTGATTTGCAAGTTTACAACTCTGTTTACATTGTTAGTAGAAACTTTAAGGAGACTGACTGTTGATGAAGAGTAGCCTGGAGTCACCTCTGGAGCTGCCCTATTGTCACCAAAGGTCTTAGGGGCTTCTAAGTCACTTTTATGGATAAACCCACGGGACACTGTATGTCTTCCAGATTCCGTTTTTAGAGGTTATTACCAATAAGAATGTATGCTCACACTTCACCTAGTGTCATCTATTTAGAAAAGACAAAGCTACAATAAACTGCTGTCTCAGTGCTGCCCCACAGACCCCTACTCTGCCCTCCTTCCCTTTTACACTTTATACAGATGGTAAACCTTGAGCTTTACAGTGTCCTCCACACGGAAACTTGACTTTTTTACTACCCTTAACTACCCACTCCCCACTGTTAGTGACGCCAGAACTGGATACAGCTCCTTTTATTCTCTGCTTTGTGGGACTCCTTCTGCTGCCTCCTCTTTGTTGTGTTAGTGACAGCCTGCTGCTGTCACCTCTCATGCCTTAAGATCCCCTTGTACTACAGCAGATAGAGAAATCCACTGGTGCTGGTAGGAAAAGGCAGCTGAATGGTTATAAGGTCTGTACTTGGGGTTAGGCTCGGAGAGGACAACAGTGCCTGTGATCCCCAGGGTTA